GAAGGATACTCAGGGTTAGCGTTGAAGCCGAATAATGGGTAATCGGCCAGCAACAAATCCGAGTCAGTGAAGCTGAGTTTAACAAACGTCTTGTAATACATTATTTCTAAAGTGTTGTCCTGATCGATGAGAACGCGTTCAATGGTGAATTTGTTCACGCGTAGCTCGATGACGAGAGGATCGGTATGGAGGAGAGTTACTCTAACTAAGTCGGTGTCGTCGAAACTAATCCTTCCAGTTTCATGGGACCGTTTTGCTGGTGTGATTGGCTTACGCAGGCTAGGTTGCAATTGAATTGTATGTACCTCGACTGACGACCGCAGATTGTATATCATGTGAATTATACCAAGCAGAGGTGAATCTAGCCGTAAGGTTACCATGTTCGATGGATTATTTTTTTGGATGTGTTGCGCCAACAGACCATCTTGTACCAGCTCCTCCAGGTGATCCTTCAGTACATAACAACTATCGATGTCGTGACCATGGTCCTTGTGGTATTTGCACCGCTTATTTCTTCTTATTGTATCGGAAGGTCTCATCATTTTGGAAGGCCATTTTAAAGAACGGAAGGTGTTGGACTTTCGACAAAATCTTGCTAATCGGCTCTGCTAATTTCATATACTTCTTGTCCGAGCGTCTTGCGTGCCTGCTATCTACTTGATATTGTTCATTTGATCGGTGTGAACATTGATCGCTTGATCGGCGCGAATCACGCCTTTTGTCTCGTTTAGCCCGATTCCACGGCTTAGCGCTCCTTAATGGCATGACGCTTATTGGCTGAACAATACCAAACGGAGCCGCCTTAATGGCTTTCTGTCCGGCTTTAACCTGCAGGGCATCGTCCTCCACGTTATAATATTCTTCGACTTTCTTCATTAACGCCCAAACTGTTTTGGGGGGCCGTCTGGTCACCGAACTATGGAGGGGACTATCAGGATGTAATCCTATTTTAAAGGCGGTGATGACCATGGAGTCATTGTAGGCATCATCTACTAGGTTAAAACATTCCCAATAGCAGGCCGAATATTCACAAACGGTTTATTCTCGTTTAATTTGCATTGCCTAGAGAGAGTCAGCTTGCTTTGGCTGAATTTCATTGGTGATGAATCTTGCCCTGAAGGATTTTTGGAGTTGATAAAATCTCTTTATCGATGTTGAATCCAGTTTATAGTACCATCTGACGGCTAAGAGTCCCAGGCTGCTTGGAAACATTCGACACATGAGGGCTTCATCGTCAGCATACAGTGTCATCGCTTGTTTATAATGAAGAATATGGTCAGTAGGGTCTGATTTTCCGTCATACAGGGTGAACGATGGTGCTTTGAACTTTTTGGGCAGTACAACCCTTGCGATGCGTCGCACAAAAAGGTCATGCTTGTCTTCTTCATTCGAATCATCACTTATTTTCCCTTGTCTATGCCGTACGTACAAACTTCCTTCGGATGAGCTAGATATATCGACTCGTTCCTTCTTTCTGGGTTCCTGGGATGTCGAGTCAGAATCACTGTCATTATCATGTTTTCGAAGTCGACGTTATCGATCATCCTTCTTTCCTTGGGGTCGACCCCGGTCATGGCATGCGGCCTGTTGGGATTTGGCTAACTCCAGGGCCAATTCCTGGCGTAGGCGCTCGTTCTCAGCCATCATGTTTTCTAGACACTGTTCATTTTGCTTTGCCTAATCCATGATTGTCTGCATTGTCTCTTGCACTGAAGTTGAGGGGTGAGGTTTGAGCTATTGAGTCGAAGTTCAAGGCCCGTCGCGCAGTGATATTCTCCGGTCCAAGCATGTTCCTTGGAGTGATGTCATCTCTTGGTATAACGTCGTCAGCAACTACCGGAGGATTATCTGTTACGCCCGCCATAGATGCGCTCGAGTATTCCCACAGACGGCGCCAATTGTGGAGAAGTGGTTTAGAAATACTCCTACAAACTTCCTTCGGATGAGCTAGATATATCGACTCGTTCCTTCTTTCTGGGTTCCTGGGATGTCGAGTCAGAATCACTGTCATTATCATGTTTTTGAAGTCGACGTTATCGATCATCCTTCTTTCCTGGGGGTCGACCCCGGTCATGGCATGTGGCCTGTTGGGATTTGGCTAACTCCAGGGCCAATTCCTGGCGTAGGCGCTCGTTCTCAGCCATCATGTTTTCTAGACACTGTTCATTTTGCTTTGCCTGATCCATGATTGTCTGCATTGTCTCTTGCACTGAAGTTGAGGGGTGAGGTTTGAGCTATTGAGTCGAAGTTCAAGGCTCGTCGCGCAGTGATATTCTTCGGTCCAAACATGTTCCTTGGAGTGATGTCATCTCTTGGCATAACGTCGTCAGCAACTACCGGAGGATCATCTGTTACGCCCGCCATAGATGCGCTCGAGTATTCCCACAGACGGCGCCAATTGTGGAGAAGTGGTTTGGAAATACTCCAGGATCCAGCCATACGTCCTTGATCCTCTAATCGCTACTTGAAAAATGGACAAACACTCCGGTCAGGGTTGTCGGAATTAGCACTCCGACGGACAAGTTAGTATTTTCTCCAACTTACTTCTCTTTCAAGTTATTTTGTTTCTTCTCACATACCTTTCTTTGGTTGATGTTCCTTTATTTATATTAGCTTCTGGGCCCAAGGATCGAGCCCACTCTTAATCTCGCGCATGATTTGCTTACTCGGCTTTGCGGTTGTGTGCTGGTTTCTATTTGACTCCTTACGTGGCCGATTTGTATATTTGGCTTCAAGAGCCCTTGGTCAGAGCCGAATTGTATTTAGCCTGGTGTCTTCAAATCCATTTGGCCTTCCTTAGTATATTAAATTCGGCCCCACAGATTTCTTGTTGTATTTTCAATTTGGAAATCCTTTTATCAAATGACAATGGTTGATATTTGGTATTTTTGTGTGAAAAATATAAAACTTGATTTTGTCAATTTTTTAAAAAATCAAATTAAATAGGTTTGATAATGCATAGTTTTCTTATACGCATTTATTATTGGTATTTGACAATTTACTTGATAATCTTTTGGTTATGTTGAGTTGGATTGTTATCAAAAAAAGAATGTTGACAAGTTGTTATGTTATGTTCAAAATTAGTAAAAGTTTAAACCGTTAAACCGATTCGCATCCATCTGTCAAACCACCAATCCGTTCAATCCGCATATGTCAATTCAGTGGACGGATAGCGGATTAGAGATTTTCTAACCGCAATCGAACTGCGAACACTTCTAATTCATATTATAAAATTTATCAAATATAGCATCTTTATAAAAATTTAAATCAAACATGTTAGTCATAACATCAATTATTGTGAGTGATATGAGGGTTTATTTCAAACTTTAATATTCTGAACAATTCATAATATAAAATTTATTAAATGTAGTATCTTTGTAAAAATTTAAATTAATCAATATTCATCATAACTAAGAGCAACTCTAATAATACTCTTCGTTTAAAGAGAAATGCGTGGTAGCTTGAAATTGGAGCTGCTCGAATGCCCCGAGTGCCAAAATGACTTTTTTTTTTCTTTCTTTCTCGAAATTGGTTTGAGAGAAACATAGAGGCGAGAGAAAGAGAGAAGGAGAAAGAGAGGAGAAGCTGAAACTTGATCTTCGGTTGAACCACAACCCAACCCATTACCATGGACTGCGAGGCTGAAGTTTAATCTTTAACTGTGGATCTTTTGCTAAACCATGATTTTTGACTGAACCACAACCCAACCCACCGCCATGGACGGAAAGGCCGAAGCTTGATCTTCGGGTGTGGCTGTTTTGATTATGATTTTGATATCTTCAGGTGTGGCTGTTTTGTTTTGTTTTTTGTGGTTTTTTTTGGGTTATTTTGCAAATTGTGCTTTGTTGAATAGTAATTACTTGGAATGATGAAATTAAACTGTACTAGTGACAACAATACAAAATCAAACTGGGAATGATGAAATTAATAGCTTTTTTCTTTATCTACTGAGGAAATAATGAAATTGGGAATGCAAGATCAAACAAGATTTGTATGGAGATAGCCGGCCGGCCATAAAACCATTTGGCCGCCCAAAAAAAATGCTGGCCAACCAACTTTTTTTTCTCGATCTATTTTTCTTCATCCTTGGGTTTGAGAAGAGAGAGAGAGAGAAAGAAACGGTTGTGGCTGTTTTGATTTTGATTTTATATGGGTTTGGTTTTGAATTTGTATTTGATTTTGATTTTTGATTTTGGATTTTGGATTTTGGATTTTGATTTTGATTTTGATTTTGATTTTGAACAAAGGAAGAAGAGGAAGGAAAAAAAAAAAATGCTGGCCAACCAACTTTTTTTTCTCGATCTATTTTTCTTCATCCTTGGGTTTGAGAAGAGAGAGAGAGAGAGAGAGAGAGAGAGAGAGAGAGAGAAACGGTTGTGGCTGTTTTGATTTTGATTTTATATGGGTTTGGTTTTGAATTTGGATTTGATTTTGATTTTGGATTTTGATTTTGATTTTGATTTTGATTTTGATTTTGATTTTGAACAGAGGAAGAAGAGGAAGGAAAAAAAGAAGGGGAAGGAAGAAAAGGAAGAAGAGAAGGGAAAGGAAAAAGAAGAAAAAAAAATTGATTTTAATTTTGAGTTCAGAGCTGCTGGAAAGAACAGAGGGAGAAGAGGAAGGAAAAAAGAAAAAAAAAATCGGGCCATTCGAACTTCATCTTTTCGAGTTACATAGTGGTGTTTTGAGAAATTGATGAAAAGTTAACTTTTTAACTTTTTAAAATCTATTTTATCTTTTTATAAGTAAAACATGAGAAGTTAATATGATCCAAAATAGATAAAAAAGTTAAAAATTAACTTTTTGGTTTTTTACTTCCCAAAAAATCCCAGAGCGGGATTGTCATTTGAATTTGCCGACGTGTTTATCGGTATACGTGGCAATTCATTATTGGAACACATGGACTACACGTGGCAATTCATTATTGGAACACATGGACTACCGCACTCGATCGCATTAAGCTCAACAGCAGAAAAACCAAACCCCCTTTCCTAGACAAACTCCGGTCTCCATTTGCAATTCAAAACTCCTCCTCCAGTTTCTTTCAGAGCACCAAACGGGACTGCGGTGAGCAATCTCTCTCACTGTCGACTGGTGTGCGAGTGCGTTCACTCATCATCATCATCTTCGCAATGTTGCACGAACTTCTACTGGCACTATTGGGCTACACGGGAGACCTCATAATCGACGAGCGAGAAGACCAGAAATCTCTCGGCATTTTCTTATCTCCCGACACTCCCATCTCTGACGAACGCACCTTCAAGCTCGCTCCTGATATCTCTTTTCTTCAACCCAGCGAACGGTCTCTCTCTCTCTCTCTCTCTCTCCCCGTCTCTCTGAAGTTTTTGTATGGATCGCAACAGTGTTCTGCCGAAATTTCTCTCTAGTACTAGGGCTTTATGGATTGCTGATGAAGAAGCAGTTTTTCTGATGTGTATTATATGGAAACTTGCCCTGTGTTTGGTTGCCAAGATTTTTTTTTTTTTTTGAATCATTTGGTTTACGTCTTCCTGGTTCCTAATTTTGGCTAATTGGGTGTTAGAATTAAGCTTTTTGTTTTGCTGATTCCTAATTGTGAGCGATCTTTAATAAATTTCTCTCCTTTCTTAGGTTAAAATGTTAATTTAGTCTTTGAATTGTTGTTTTTTTACAAGCATCATGGGCATATGTAGTGACTTATTTGGATCACAACACTTCTTTATTTTCTGCATATCCTTTTGTAAAATGTTAAAAAGTGCACTTATTTAAATCATCCCAAACAACCCGAATTCTTTTGGTTCTTACGTTGTGTTGTACTGCTAATGCTTGCAGGGATGTAATTGAACGGATAATTACCTTAGGGTTTTACTACAGGGAACTTGACCGCTTTGCTGCAAAGTCGCGGAATTTAAGTTGGATAAGGTCTGCAAATGAGTCTCCTATGTCCCGAACTTCTGAATTAATCAATGGGAAAAAGGAGAAGCAGAGTGTGTACAGGAGGGCCATTGCTAATGGCATTGTTGAGGTGCTGTCAGTTTACAGGTCTGCTGTTCTACAAATTGAGCAGAAGTTGTTGGCAGATTCTGTGCCCATCTTGGCAACAGTTACCCAAGGCCTCAATAAGGTATGTGGTAAATTTCATAAATCTGTAGTCTCTTGTGGTGGCATGGAAATATATTTTATTTTTATTTTTGTTTCTTTCCTTAACTAATACAAATGGTCATACTCATAATTAATTTTGTAATAAAAATATAGTAAAGAATTAGTTTTTTATAATTGTTATTATCAGAATATGCTGTCTGTCCATTGAGTAGTGTTTTTTACTATGAGAATGAGAAGGATGGACTTATATGTATTGTTTGCTAGGCTGCAGTTTTATTTTTCCAAAGTGACTTCCTTTTCTAAGTGACTCCTGAATTTCAAGGGTTTCGTATCTAGGGATTGTATTCTTTCTTTTTCATTTTCATTTTGGAAGTGATTTTTATCCTTTTATCCCGTGTGTTTGTTATTGATGGATGTTTGTTCTAGTTCTTTGTTCTTTTGCCGCCTCTTTATGAGCTCATTCTAGAGATTGAGCGTGAAGATATTTGTGGAGGACGACTTCTTAACCTTTTGCACAAACGATGCCATTGTGGGGTGCCTGAACTACAGACATGCATCCAAAGGTATGAACTTCACGATCAACTTTGTTTACATGTAAATTGGTATGGATGTTTACGGTCCACTTTCTTTTGCCTTGGTTGGCTGTTTAGTCTTTTAATTGAATTAAAGTTCACAACCACGTGGCAGCTGTATGTATTTTTGTTAAAAAAGAATTTTGATGAAATGTATATGTTGTTCCATGTTCTTTGACACATTGGAAAAATGATGCATTTTTATAGCTGTGATATCCATATAGAAGTGAATTAAAAGTAGAAATGAAAATTTCTATTGCTCAGCAATAGTTGTCTTCAGCTAAAAGTGGGTCGATGTTGACTTTTTTGTTATATGCATTTCCTTACAAAAAAAATTACCGTGTACCTATGCACAAGGCCTCTCATACTGTGGTTTAGTGTTTTACATACTGGTATCGTCCAGTATAGAGGAAACATATTTTCTCTTTGAGCCCTGTAGCATGCCTGAGCTACGTGAATTCAAGAATAATGCAACTCCTAGATCTTTCCATATAGACATGCTTTCTTACAATTTCAGCCATATGTAAAAAATGTTACAATCAGGAATTACTAGTTTAAATTAGGACCCATCACCATCATGTCAAATTAGCAGACCATAATCTGTGTGACTAAATTGACCTGTTAGTGATGTTCTTCAGTTGGACTATGGAATGGGAGAATTTATTTTTAAACAAGGTTTTAACATGATACTATGCTTCAAATGTAATAGTAGTGGTAGATTTCTGAAATTGTGTTTGATGCATAGTTTTTACAGTCTTTGTCTGGTACAATTTCTTAATCTTGGACTTCAAACGTAAATTTCTGTGATATGATTAGTGATAAGTGTTGATTTAACCAGTGGTCTTTTTCTGGGACAGACTAAATGACTTATTCTTAAAAGCCCAATGGAGTAGTATTGTGTTAATTATACTTTAGTTGTTTATGAAATGCAGACATAATATTTATTGAGATACAAAATAATAACCAAACTATTTTTGTTTTGGTTTCCTGAAAGCATAGGCTTCTTTGGCATGGGCACCAGGTCATGTATAATCAACTTGCTTCCTGGATGGTTTATGGGATTCTTAATGACCAGCATGGAGAATTTTTCATTAGCAGGTAACAAATAATAATGAATTTTTATGTGATTTCCTCCCGATTCCAAATGCAAACAGGCCTTCATGCTTTTCTTGTTTGTGGGTAACTTATATGAATAAAATCAAATTTTTTTTTTTTTGGCTTTCTTGTTGGTGCTTTAGAATTTGAAGGAGAAGCACAAGATAAACGATATTTAAGTAGAAACAATAAAAGAAAATTGAGAATGAAAATGAGGAAGAAAGTGAAAAGTAGCAGGAAAAAAAGGATCAGCTTCTAATGTTCTTAGTTCTTAATATATACAATTTGGAGAGGCATAATGTCATGGACCTTATGTTCTTTTGTCCTATTGTGCCTCTTGTGATGGCTATCTAAGTTCACATACATAGAGATGTAAGAAATTATGAACAAGGGAACTTTGAGAATTTACTCTACTTTTCTGTAGATAAAAGCTGACTCCTTTCCCTCACTTTGTTGTAGTGATTGACTAGTTGAACATTTTCCATTTAACTCTTTTTGTTTATCTTTATTATTGTATGTTTTTTGACTTTTGGTTTTGGGGAGTAGGATTGAAATTGGGTATGTGGTGTTTGTTTTTTCTCAAGGCAGGAAGACAGGGACACAGAACATGACTCATCTCATTCCGATATGCTTGAAAAGTTTGCACGCATGTCAACTAATGATGCATCTCTAACGGATTGGCACTTGGGATTTCACATTTCTTTGGTACATTAAAACATATTTCTTGCATTATTTACCTTATGCAGATTGCCACCATTTTATTGATTTTCTTGGTTGTATATCTCAATTGGAACACAGATTGGTGATGATTTGGTTTTTCTCATCAACTTCCATAGGGTTTTATTTGGTTTTGTGTGTATGTGTGCATGAATTATTTTTTTTTGGGTTATCTTGCTGGCTGTGTACTAATTTATGGACCATATTTGATGTTGCAAAGCTTTTTGTGCTTTCTGCTTTGTTTACAGGATATGTTGCCAGAGTATATCCCCATGCGTGTTGCAGAGTCCGTTCTTTTTGCTGGAAAAGCAGTCAGGGTTCTGCGGAATCCAAGTCCTGCATTCCGATTTCAGGATGCCGTGTACCATCAACAGAAACCAAGAGGATCACAAAGAATTCAAGGATTTATGGAACGCTTTTCTTTCCAGAGGGAACCGTCTTTGGATACAAAAATTGGAGAAGAATTACTTCCTCAGTCTGAGGCTGATAAGATTGAAGCTATGCTTCAGAACCTGAAGGTCCTCCTGCATTGTCCATTTGTATGATTTAGATATTATTTTGTGCCACCCCTTCTATCATTGATGCTCGCATGAGGTCACTGATATACTCTGGTTTATTTACTGTATGCATTGACTTTTCTACTTGAAATATAGTTCTTCATTCAACTTAATGGCCTACTTTTATGTTCCCATATGGGAACTGAAATGAAGATTATATTCCTGTATCGCATTTTTGCTTTTAAGCTAAATCCTTGGTTGACTATGTGCAGGAATCATCTGAGTTCCACAAAAGATCATTTGGGTGTGCTATGGACTCAATTCAGGCTATTGCTGCCAGTCACCTTTGGCAGGTTCTGAATGTGACATATTTTTTCCTTTTATTTCTCCAGAGTATCTGTTTTACTGTTTTCCCTCCATATCTGCAGCTTGTGGTTGTACGTGCCAACTTAAATGGCCACTTGAAGGCCCTTAAAGACTACTTTCTTTTAGCCAAAGGTGATTTCTTCCAGGTAAAAAATGACCAATAGTTTGATTATCCCTGTTATATTTATGCTGTGGAGTTCCTTTTGTCATTTCTTATTAACCTTGCAAAAGATGCATATAGCTGTGCACGCACTTCGGAGAAAAAAAAGCAAATGCTCTTTCAAAAATTGTCAATGGCAATGTTTTGGGGCAATCTGAAAACATGCTCTTAGATTTCTAAGGACTTTTAGTGATTATTAATATTTATTGACAACTTTACATATTGCTCGACTTTTATGCCAATCAAAAATTGATCTGTAGAATCTTCTAAGTATATTTTTGCATTTGGATCCTTCTGAAGAATCTTAACTTTTTATATATCACAGCAATGTATTCAAAGTTTAACATATAGTTTAATTATGTCTTAATTTTATAATTACTAATTAAAATTGAAAAAGAAAACTGATTTTCCAAAACAACTTTTTTTTTTTGTTTGAACTGTGATTTTCCAAAACTTCTTGCAACTCCTTTTATACATACCAAAATGTGGGAAAAAGAACTTGCAGTAACTCCATTTGTTTTTTTGTATCCTTCCTATTGGACTCAAATAAATATGAAGTTAACAAGCATAAACTTCATAACCAAATAATAGATGAAGTAATTAGTGGACCCACTAATTCACTATTTTGGTTATCCTATTGCGGAGGTTGAGTGAAAAAAGAGAGATTTGAATTTCTTGGATCCTTCCATGCCTTCATGATATAGTCGAGCATCTCCTGATGATGATTATGCCTCTTGTTTCTGAATCAAACATCAATGAAGCTAGGAAATAATGACGATTAAAAGCAAAATGAAGATCAGAAAGAATGTTGCCTGCATTGCTATCTTGTCAGCAAATTTTATGCAATTCCTTTTGTTACTTTTAAAACATTGAGGATTGTTCTTGATAAGAAATGGTTTAATATGCTAGAGTTTTCTCGAAGAAAGTCGCCAGTTGATGCGTCTACCACCTCGCCAGTCAACTGCTGAATCTGATCTTATGGTCCCGTTTCAGCTGGTACGTTTAGCTTAAGATCATTTTCTTAAAATTATCTTCTGACCTAATGTTTTGTTGCATTTAGGGAACATCCATCCAAATAAATTTGTTTTAGTTACTAGTTAAAGTGCCAATGGTGCTCTTCCATGGCTGGTTTAAATCTGAAACTTTCCTCTTGTTGTTTGCCAAGATTTTATAGTTTCACATCAACTTATTCTTGTCTAATTAGCGAAAGTTGAATTTCTCAACAGCTCAGTATGAAAATAAATTCATTTGCATATTTGAAATGCAGGCCGCAATAAAGACCATCAGTGATGAAGACAAATATTTTCCAAGGGTGTCCTTGCGGTTAGAGCTCTGTTGACTACTCTTTATGTTTGATTGAAGATGGGGTTTGTCAAATAGCAGTTTCTTTTGTTCCTAGTAATCTAATAGCAGTAAGAACATGTACTTACTTCTCTTTCCACCACTACCAGGATGCCTGCCTTTGGAATTTCAGTTAAATCCTCCCAAGTGGATTTGCCAAAGGCAAAAGCTTACAGCGAGGGAGACTCAAGCACACTATCAGATACAGCAGAGATGTCACTTGATGGTTGGGATGGTATTGCTCTTGAATACTCTGTTGATTGGCCCTTACAATTGTTCTTTACACAAGAAGTTCTCTCGAAGTAAGTTTCTGAGCTGCCTTGATTTGGTGAAATTATTTTTCTAAGTAATGGAGTTGGAGTTACTTCACAAAGCTTCTCCCATCCTCCCTTTCCTGTGACATTTTCATAGTTTCCCTCCCCCTGGCTTGTTTGTGTGCGCAAATGCAGTGGCAGAGCATTATTGATTGTCAATTTAGTTGCCTTATTTATAATTATAAAACATTAACAATGCTGTAGGTACCGCCGGATCTTCCAATATTTGCTCCGGCTTAAGCGGACCCAAATGGAATTGGAGAAATCATGGGCTTCTGTGATGCATCAAGATCACACAGATTTTGCCAAACACCGCAACGACCGTATGAACTGCTCCATATCTCAGCAGAGACGGCAACGTTTTAGACCAATGTGGCGGGTTAGGGAGCATATGGCTTTCTTGATTAGAAACCTTCAATTTTATATCCAGGTAATTGATATGCACAATCTTCCATTTCATATCTTGTGTAATTATAACTGAATCTACATAAATCATGTATGCACAATGTACTGAAGTGTCTTAAATCTTTAAATTTATAGATGTGCTGGGAGAACTACATTTTCATGATGCAAGAAAATTGTGAAAATCTTTCCCATTAAGCTTCCAAAATCGATTTCCCTATTTGAATTCTGTTGTGTAGATGTGAACCTTGCCTGAACTATTATTTCCTATTTTTTTCTTTTTTCCTGTCTGGTTGTTTAATTGTTGATTTTTATTTTTTCATTTTTTTGCTATCCAAGAGTTTTTCCTGCAAACCCCTCCTTTATTCCCCCTGAGGGTGGGGTGTACAAGAGAGGTCCTTGGTGGGACCTGTTATGTCATCACTATGATTCCAATCAATCTTACAGATACTTTGGAATCTTTATATTTTCCCTTTTCATTTTGAGGGTTATTCAACTTATTTAATACCACCTGTTTCCTCCCAGGTGGACGTGATTGAATCTCAATGGAATGTATTGCAAGCTCATATTCAGGATTCTCGTGATTTCACTGAACTGGTGGGCTTCCATCAAGAGTAAGTAAAATTAGATGGAACTGTTTCTCTCCAAAGCATTTGTAGTATGGTATCTTGTTCATAATTGTACATTTATAGTTCTATTCTTTTGACGAATTGATAAAGTGAACATCTTACTTATATGGTTTCTATTATTGATCTTCTGGGTTACCTAAATGGATTTGGTTCGAAATTCAGTGATATTAGTAAGTTAGTTATAATTGAGACATTACTTGCAGGTACTTATCAGCTTTAATTTCACAATCTTTCTTGGACATTGGCTCTGTATCAAGGATACTGGACAGCATAATGAAACTTTGCCTGCAGTTCTGCTGGAATATTGAGAACCAAGAAAGCAGCTCAAATACTGTTGAGCTGGATCGTATAACTGAGGTATTGTTATCTAATCTTTATCTTGTATAATAATTTGGGCCGTAAAATGAGCTTTTCATCCGCTATATTTTCAATTTTGTCTGTACATGTGCAGGGAGCATGGGTCGGTGCCCTTTACCAGATAGGTCACTGTCCCATGCGACCTACAGCTTCAGATGAGTTGCTACTCTTTAGCATTGGAGTTGAGCATCTCTGTGAAATAAATTACTATTAATGGTCACTGTTTTATGAGACGTAAGAATTTTACCGAAGCTATTGATCATGCATCCCTCTGTATATCTGTTGGCTTTTTTGGCTTTCAAGGGTTAATAGTGTAAATTGAAGCGTGCCAGTAAGGATCAATCAGTTCTTACAGAATTTTAATTGCCAACCAATTATCAAGTGATTGTGTTGAACTTCTTTTAGCCTCAATGAAGAAGACTTTTACTAGTGTCTTGTTTTAGGAAAAATTGATAAGAAATAACAAGTACAGAGCAATTCAGAAACTGAATTTCATTAACTAAATAGGAACTTACAATGAAATGACCCAGCCTTTGAAAAGGTTTACAGCAGTGACCACTTGAAACTACTCATAAGAAATGAAGTTCAGTACAGGAATTGAAGAACTGAAAATGTAAAACTGGAAAGAAATATGAAGTAAATAAATTGGTTTCTGGATCTGAGTCTGGGTCTTTCATTCTAGGGCCTTCTCTCTATTTATACTTCCAATGGTAACCGTCAAAATGTACTTCTGTGATCTTTCATTATTGCCCTGAACAATTTGCTCCTACGACGTCTTCTTTGTAGTTAGGCTTCCCTCCTGTATTTGAATTTGAACTTTTGAGTAACCGTTGGGCCATGTCATTTCACACCTTCTAACTGCTTTTATGCGACGCAGACCCACCATTACTAATATAAACTGCTACGTGTCTGTTACTGGTTGGAGACTTGCATTAACTCTCCAAATTACCCTTTACGTGCCACGTGTTAAGCTACTATTGGTCTATACAAAATATGTAGCCAACAATATCATTATTGAATATTATGAACATCAAGTAAACTTCTGCCAAGTTTGTTAGTAGCATTCTAATCCAAAGTATTGTTGCCTCTAATTATTATTATTATTATTAGCTTTGAATTTCACCATCAAATTTTATTGTGTTTCTTCCACTCCAGGAATTTAACAAGACATCAAACTCCTTATACACCATACTACGTAGCAGCAGGCTTGCCGGGAGTCAGAGAGCCCCATTTCTTAGGCGTTTTCTTTTACGTCTAAACTTCAATTACTTCTTTGAGGTGACTCGATCTTCTCAAGAGATGCTTCTTTTTAATTTTGTTCCAACACTGATGTTCTAATTATTTTATTTTTCTGTCAACAGACAACTGCTCGAGGCGTACTGAATGTTGTCAGACCACGCCCAATACTCCCAGTTTTGCATTAGTAATAATGAAATTAACATTCAATATTCTCTGCTTTAGAACCGGCCAAGGTATTGACTGTGAGGTAGTGCTCCAATGGTCCTGGTTCAAATGTAGATAGATTCTCATATGATAGTTGAAATTTAGTTGATTCATCGTCTCGTAGCTAAAGCTTGAAGGTTGAATCCAATGCTCGGCCTGCTGTTAGCCGGGCACTTTAGACACATGGGCGGGGTTCAATTGGACCACTGAACTTTTTTTTTTTTTGTTTTTAAAAGAATTATGTAGTATTATATAAAAAATTTTTTGAGAGATTTTCATAAATTTACACTATCAAAATTGTTCCAAAAAAAAAAAATATATATTATCAAAAAAAAAAAATTTGTTTAAAAAAACAATTAGTTATATGTTTATCATATTTTTATATCATTTTTTGGTTTACCACACATAATTATTAATGGTTGAATATTCATATGAATGAGACTTGTATGTATACTATTACAACAATCATTGTATGTCACATATTAGATAGTATAAAACATGACTTAAAAATATGGTGAGTATAATCTTATTGAAAAGGCTAATTTAGTTGGCAATCATGATATCATTTTTTTTTTAATAATGGTATAAAAAAAATTCATCTATAATTTTGGTATAAAATGATGTAATTTAATGTGAACATTTCATTTTAAAATAAAACATTCATGAAGGTGCTTTTTATTTGTAACATTATTTTTGTGATTGGTTTTTTGGTATAATTTTTATATATAAATAGAGTTTATAAAAAAGAATTGATTCATAAGTCCGAAAAGGATGAATTGTAGACTTAGGCCAAGTTTGGGAAGATCCAAAAAAGTCAAAAAGTCAAAAAGTTACTCAAAAAGTTAAAAAGTTAATACTATTCACCAAAAGTCAACAATTACGGCTGCACAACTCAAATGATGTAATTTAATGTGAACATTTTATTTTAAAATAAAACATTCATGAAGGTGCTTTTTATTTGTAACATTATTTTTGTGATTGGTTTTTTGGTATAATTTTTATATATAAATAGAGTTTATAAAAAAGAATTGATTCATAAGTCCGAAAAGGATGAATTGTAGACTTAGTCAGTCCCATTTTTTATTTAATACACAGGGAAGTACCATTTGGTGTGGAGTGATATTTTGGCCCATTTGTGAATGGTGTTGTAATTGAAATATTTTATTATCCTGATTTCCGTTTATGATATGTTTAGAAAAAGCGTAGTATAGGAATTTTTTTTGGATTTACCATACTAGGGGTTTGTTTGGGATATGGGTTGACATTTTAGTTTTTTGATTATTTTAATTTGGGGTTGGAAAGCCTCGTTTAGGATAGATTTTTTGGTTTTTTGACTTTTGTGAGAGAAAAAATGAAATGATTATAGTTTGGATGTGATGTTTTGTCTTATTAAATTAAAAAGTCTATTTTGTCTTTTTGTGGTTAAGATAGCCAAAAAGTCAAAAAATTAAAAAGTTTGGCATGCCAAACGAAGGCTATGTATGGTAGCCCACATTTGGAACCAACCCAAACATTTTAGCCTCCCAAAATTGAGGATTCTGATCAAACCACATTCAAATCCGATCCAAACATTTAAACCTCCAAAATTCAGAATTCCAACCAAACGCCACTGATTTTGTGCTTTTGTCGATTGGGGTTTCATTAGAGCAACGTTTTCGTTGTTCTCATCTGGGAATTATGTCAAACGGTTCAGCTCTCAAAGAGATTGAGGATTCCGACTAGCATCTTTAATTCGGTGTGTCTGCTAGGTTTCGACAGTTCGACGTGTCGTCGTTCTTGTAGATGGGTGTGCCATAATCACCTTGGTAATCGTTTCTGGCAAGTCCAATCGGGGTTTTTCAACATGTACGTTGCATCTTTACGTGGCTACCACATCTGCAGGATTTGATATTCCGAAATCATTTGTATGGGTTTATAGTTTGTGTAAATCATGTCGTATTATGGTTTTGACAGCATCGAATTACATATCATGCAATGTAGTTAAGGAAACAAATCAATCCACATCAAAAAAAAAAAAACACAAAAAAAAACACAAAAATCCCTCCCGAATCCCATGAAATCCACAACGTATTGTCATTGTCATTAAAGCAACGTATTGTTGTTCTCATTTGGGTGTTCCACATTCGATTGGGTTACAATTTTCGTCAACTCCGACTAAGTTTTTGTTGTCGACATTGCATCTTAATGTGGCAACCACAACTATGGGATTTAATATTATGAAATCATCCGCGTGTATTTAGAGTTTGTGTTTATAGCGACCCCGGTCTAAGATGTAAGCCCTTAGGGCATTTATTTTGATGTTGCAGGATGTTACAAGTAATGTCTGTCAATAAGAATACTCTGATGACTAACTCAAATGATTCGTTTTCTTTTATAAATGCATGTTGATGTTATGGCTATTATGGGTTTATTTTGAGGGCGTTACAGTGTTGTATATGTCAGTTTGTATACTATGATTAAATAGTGGCTTTGGTTTGTCTGGTTTTATTTTGATTTTGCTTCATAGTGAGTGTGTTGCTGTTTGTGTACCTATGGTGTCACATTAGTCGACCTCCATGGTTGTCTTCCCCACATGGTTGGTTTTGATGGTTGTGTAAATGCTTGTTTATTGTTACAGGATGGTTGTGTAAATGCTTCCCCACATGGTTGTGTAAATGCTTGTTATATGTTTGGTAATTTGTGTATTGTTCCATGGATATTCACGTGTCACATTGTGACCACCTGTGCGTGGGATGTGGGGGAGTGGATGGATGAGATTTTGGGAAAAGTTGGGATTTTTTTTTTTTGCCGTGTGTTTTGTGGGAGGGCAAGTATTGTCAGGTTGGGTGGCTTTGTCCACATCATTATGATGTGTACATAATATCGAGCCTAACATAATCAATGGAATTAAAAAATTCATTTCAAAGCATTTCTCTCACGATGAAAAGGGTAAAAACGTCACTAAATTCATTCCACAAATAACAAAAGGAATCTTGCGGGTCACATTGCCAAAAAGGAACGACTTACTAATATATTAAAAAATAAAAAGAGGATTCCTTGGATTTAAACTCTACCAAATAGGATTTTTCAATAATTTTTCATTTATAAAAATTTAAATAAATAAAGAAAGAAAAATAGATTTATTTTAAAGTACGAAATTTTGTTTTTTAAGTAAAAAAACAAGCAATATATTAAAAGAAAAATAGATTTCTTTCAAAGCACAAATTTTAAATTACTTACAAAGACTTTTTTTTTTGGTTTCTTAAAAACAATCATTTTGTCTACTCTCTCTGTTTGATTGATTGATTGAAAATTGCAACCTCGTTGTCTTTAATTTTATTAAAGAAATAGTATATTAGTGTACCTAAGTATTGTTGTGTAATTTGACTAGTTTGAACTGTAATGCTACATCCACCGAATTTGAACTCGCCCAAATTATCCAAATTTGTGCATGCCAGTTGACACACGGGTCATTCGGGAGGTTGTATGACCGATCATCTAGGCGGATGTCGATTGACACGCTGGTTGACAAAGGTGACAACTGCGGTTAACAAGGGTGACACTAGTCATTTCGGCAATCGTCCGGGAGGTCGTCCAACTTACGTAATTCAGGTGAGCCCAATCTTCCCCTAGAAGAGAGTTGAAACATTAGAGGTTAATATAAGATTTCAAAATCTCTCATGTAAGAATATTGTACACAATTCTAAAACTATCCTAGAGTAGATTCTAAAGAGTTTTAGAATGATTAGAAAGGTTGTGGAAGGCTTCAAGAGAATTTCACACACTACATTAATTGTACATTTTAGATTATTTCTAGAGGATTTCACACACTATATTAATTGTACATTCTAGATTATTTCTGGAGAGGATAAGGTTGCTCCTATAAAGGGGAGTCCTCATTTGACCAAACTAGGGATGGTCATATTGTTGGACAATTTTCACTGTATTTAGAAAATAAATTCTGTTTGTGTACTTAACAACAAACGAAATACAAAAGAAATAAAGGAAATGAAAGAATTTGTTTGATTACAAAAATCAAATCAGAAAATAAAATAAAATAAATAAAACAGATTTTTATTTTGTTACAAAAACAAAATGAAAATCTGAAACAGAAAATAAATTAATTACTTACCAAATTATTTATTGAATAAATTTTCTGATCAAGTCCAGTGTTTAATACTGTGTCCTTAAGACAGATTCGTCATCTCCATGATGCTTTTAGAATGTGGACGTCTATCTCCAAGAATAAAATGATCAACAACAAACAATAGTAGCACTACAAATTGTTTTCACAACGAACACATTAAGTGTTTATACTCTTTCTCACAAGAAAAATTATGTAGCAAAAATGCAGAGAGGGCAGGAAAAATTTTGGACAAAATTGGTGTGAAAAACCAAGTGAGAGACTTGTCTATATATAGGTGTAAATGTGACTTTTCATTTTGAATTAAACAGGTAATAAACCTGTTTGAATATGTATCATACCTGTTTGGTTTGAATGACACTGTTTGGGTTCGAATTTGAATTGGGACAGATATAAACCTGTATAGATTTCTAACCGAATTTTTGGAACCAAAAAACCGAATAGATTTTTGAATTTAAAATTCCGAAATTCAAATTTCAAAAAATTAGAATTTAATTTTAGAAGAGTAAAATTCAAATGTTTTTGGCCCAAAAAGATAAGTATTGGGCCGGACAAACCCAACCCAACCTCACACCCAAGCCCAAGCCCAGCCCAGCCTAGTTCGCCCAGATAGACGGCGGCGGCGTGCGCGTGTGGTTATTTTTGGGTTCAATGGATCTAGCCCAATTTGCCCATAATCTCTCCCTTCTACAAATTTGGGGTGCCCCTTAGAGCCCTCTCCAAATCATAATTCCAAGCTTTAGAAACCCATAAATTTCTTCCCACCAAACTAATGTGGAACAAGCCTTTATTCAAACATTTAAGGATTTTTCACCAAAACTCCATTTCCATGGAGTACACTTTGGTTTCAATTTTCCATTCACCCGATAATGGTTTTGAGCAACCAAATATACCACATGAATCATAACGCGGCATAAAACGCGTTACCATCTTGACCCGCGAAATTCGGCGCATCGGTCCCACCTAAAAAATAGACCAAAATTAAGGAAAAATTAGATTTTTCTAAAACTTCAAAACCATTTCTAACAATCCCTCACATGAATGAAATTTGATGACAGCGGAAATGCTACAATATGCAGAATTTGTCGAAAGAGTATAAATTGAAAAT